GCTAGGTCAGGTCTCTTATTTTTGCCTTGTTCTTCTCTCCACCCACAACCTGCAGGACTCAAGTAATGATGAGATCAGGGACTTGGCCACAGCACATCGAGGGCAGAGTGTGACTCCACCAGGCTGGGGCCACATTTTTCCTCCTGACCCTTTGTGCCTGGATCTGGTGGTGGGGTGGCTGAAGCTCATGCTGAGATGGTATGAGACTCTTGAGGCCAGCAGCTGGACAAAACAGGGGAGGAGAAAAATCTGTTGGCCACCACAAAGCATTTAGATGGATTTTCTATCATTTCCTGTGCCCAGGGCTAATGTGGGAACATGGGGTCTGGTAGGGAAACTGAGATAAGTGAAGGTGGACCACAGCCCGTGCCAGCAGCTCTCCCTCTCCATTTTGGTTGGACAGGTCCTCTCACAAGAAACCACAAGTTTGTGTTTCTCCTGCAGCATTCTCTGTGTGCGTGTCTGGAAGAAGTTTTCAGTTCTAAAAGTAATCCATGGTGTTTTGGGTTCTGTTACCTGGAAGTTGCTGTAGTTGAAGGAGGCTCAGAGCAAAAAGCTTCTAGAGACTGTAAAGTGGAAAGTTTCCTTTTTTGGAAAGAGCTTCTGAATCCTCCACTGTGTGAGTAGGCACAGGCAGGCAGCCAGGATGATCCATGGCTGAAACATAAAGGGTTAATTTATTTCTGTTATCTCATTAACCAGGGGATCCCTGACAACCCTGGGTAGAGTACAGAGGTACAGGAGATGCAGGCACTGTTAAGATCCATGCTTGCAGATCACTGGCTGCTGTTCATGTGGTTTATCAAGGGTTATTCCCAGCTGTAAGGTCACTTGAATGATTTACAATCCTCCTCCACAGTCTTCCACTTTTAACCCATTCCTCCCAATATCCACATTTAGTGAAAACAGTCAATAAAAATGTGCAGAGTGGTTCATTTCACTTGAGTGGGTGGGGTGCAGCGTCCAGAGCAGAGTGGGCCACGGATTGGACTATTTGGATCCAGATGTAACTTCCCCCAAGGTCAAATCTGATACTGGCACTCTCAGCTGTTCCTCCTCCACCTCACTTCCAGCAGCCTCTGGGAGACACCTCTGGCTGTATCCCCAGACAGTTTGCATAATTTCCTGGGTGAGCTGGTCCTTCAGGGTTTGCTGTCATCCTTTGCTGTGGCTCTGGCTGGGCTGTGCACATACACCCTTTGGGAGAGTGACTGCAGGATCTTGCACTTGAGGCCCCATTGTGCTCTGTGCACGTGCACGTGTCTTTATGAGGCCCAGGAGAAGCCTGAGGACCAAGGCAGGTGCCCAGCCCAGCCCTTCACAAGTGCTGAGAAACATTTGGAAGATGTTTCCCTCAGGGTGGGCCATCACTGGTGCCCCAGGATGATGCTTGGCATCGTCTCTGCCTTGTGCTGATTGTTTCCATGTCTCTTTTTGTAGGAGCTGAGAGACCTGGCAAACAAACACCCAAACCTGGTTCTTGTGAAGCTGGGTAGGTGCGCTGTGTCTCTGAGCTGGTAAATTCATGACTGCTGACCACACTTGGCCCATTTCTCCTTCCCTCCCTCCCTCCCTACCTTCTGGTTGTACATGGAGATCCAGTTCTTCAGAGCTTCTTCAAGTCCTGCTGCCAAAAGTCTGGACCTGTCTCTGCCTCAGTACTCCATTCCCTTGAGCCTTCTGGCTCCATGGCCACAGGACCAGGATGTTCTTGAGACCCATCCTGGGCAGCCTCTGGCTCCCCCAGCCAAGTGGCCACATCCTTGCTCTGCCATGCAGCTGAACTGCCTTCATCCCAAGTCCCAGATGAGACTAAGAGGGCTCTGGGAGAAAAGCAGCTCCTGTGGAAACGCTGTGTGATCAGCCCAGAGCCTGGGCAGCAGCTGTAGGACCTTGCAGACCCATCCCACAGCAGGTCCCAGCACAGCTCCCTTGGGGACCTGTCCCCACCAGGACTGCCTTGGGTTCTCCAGAAGTTGCTCAGGCGTGGACTTCGGAGGTGGTGCCTGCTGGGAACTGAGCCAGCACTGGAGTCACAGCAGCGCTTTACCCCCATGGTGGGCTTTGCCCGGTGGGCTGCCCGGGGGCAGGACCTTCCGCTGCTGGCGGTGGGGCCGAGGAGGCAGTTTTGGGATGAGCTGGGATGTGCCGGGGTGCTCAGAGCTGGTTTCACAGCACCATCTGGTGCTCACGGATGGAAGAGCCGCGCGGGTCGGGATGTGCGGCTGTTTCGGCAGCACCTTCACCTCCCTCTTCCCCCCAGCCCCCCCCGGCTCTCAGACTCCACTCTCTCCCACTGCAGATGTCTCAAATCCCTCTGCTATCACCGAGGCGGCGAAGATCGTGGAGGTGAAGCTGAACGGCCTGGGCCTGAACCTGCTGATAAACAACGCCGGCATCTACACCCCCACGGCATCGCTGGACACGGTCGATGCTGAGGACATGGTCAGGACCTACAAGACCAATGCAGTGGGGCCAATGCTGATGGCCCAGGTACGAGTGAGGCTCTGGGGATGAAGTTCACCACGGAATTTGGCCCAGCTTGAGGGTATCCCGGGCTGTCCGTGGTCACAACAGATATCTTGGAGGGCTTTGCCAAGTTTCCTGGGAGGGAGGGGGCAGTGCCAGGGCTGCCCTCCCAGCCCAAGCCCTCTGTAGCCCCCCTGCATTGTGCTGGGCTAACTGGGAGCAGGCAGGGCCACTGCAGCAAAACACCCGGGCCCTCCTGGCTTCCCACCAATCTTCCTCTTCCTCCCTGGGTCGTGGTTGCCATAAGTGGGGCTGGCTTGAGGCACAGGTGTCCCACAAGTTTGCTTCTCCCCAGGCATTCCTGCCTCTGCTGAAGAAGGCTGCCCAGGAGAGCAAAGCAAAGGGCCTGAGTTGCAGCAAGGCAGCCATCATCAACATCTCCACTGTCATGGGCTCCATCAAGAAAACGACCGATTCCTTCTCTCCGCCTGTCATCTCCTACCGCTGCAGCAAGGTATGGAGGCTGGCAACCTCCCCTGCTCCTGAGCTTGCTGGGAGGCAGAGCTGCCCCTTGCCAGGCCTGATCTCAGGGAAGCACCTAAGATTGCGAGATGGAGGGACTGATCCACGCTTAGAATTGCCCAAGCTCCTGTGGCATCTCTGTGCCCACCCAGGGGAGACACACGATGTCTCTCGAAGACCTGGTGTTGCTTTTTCTCCCTCAGCAACAGGGGAGGGAAGCTGGAGCTTTTTGCTGCCCGTGGCTGATGCTTCCTTCCTCCCCCAGGCTGCCCTCAACATGCTCACCATGTGCCAGGCTCTGACCTACGGGGAAGCCGGGATCCTGTGCGTGGCACTGCACCCCGGATGGGTGAAAACGGACATGGGCACCCAGGAGGTGGGTTCTGGCTGAGCAGGTCGAGAGGGGAACCCATGGGTGGGACCCAAGCCTACAAGACTTCACAGGAGGTAGCTCGGGTGGCTCTTGGGAGAAGGCATCCATGTGAAAATGAGCTGCCTCTTGGTTCTCCAAGTTGCCCACATGTGTGGTGGGCCGCTGCAGAACATGTGATGCTGCCTGGGAAATAGCATATTTCCACAGCACGTATCCAGGGTGAGCAGGAAACCTCTTCAGGGGGGAAAGGGGCTTTGGGCAGCCTAGAGGTGTGCAGAGAAACTGAATCTAACAGAACAAGGAGGAGAAGAGCAGCACCATTCCATCCTGTGCCCCCTTCCTCAAGGAGCTGCAGGTCCACGAGGCCTCCGTGCATCCTGCAGGATCCCTGTTTTGCAGTGGGGGTGGTCCCTGCAGCACTGGAGTTTTGAGAAGCCTGCACGTAGCATCCCATTTGCAGTGGGGATCTCCTCTGTGTCTGTTTTGGTTTAACCTCTGGCTGGCTTTCCAGCCCAAGCCACCTCCATCCAAGCTGGCAGTGAGCATGCAGATACCCAACCATCCTCCCACACAGCAGGCTTGTCCCAGCTCCTGTGGCTCTCTGCTCACTCTGGGTGGAAGGAGCCTTGCTGCCCATGTGCATGAGCCCAGTGGGTGCTGGTGGATGGCCTGGAATGATGGTGGTGTCTTCTTGTGCCCATTGCAGGCTGACCTGACAGTGGACACAAGCGTGCGGGGGCTGCTCTCTGTGCTGCCAGTCCTTTCCGAGAAGCACAGTGGGACTCTGCTCAACTGGGAAGGTAAAGCCATCCCCTGGTGACCACTCTCTGTCCCTGTGAGGGACCCCATGGTGCCAGGGCACTCCCTGGGTGCACTGGAACACCGGGATGCTCAATCCTCTGTGGTCTACAAGGAACCTACTTGGGACTCGGTGGGTGTACAGAGTGTGATCCCTGCCTTCACCTTGCTAATAAATAAAGTCAATTAGTACCTTCTCCCAACTGCAGTGTCCCTGCTGAGACTGTCTCTGCCCTGGAGCTGGCCCCTGTGAAAAACAGCCTGGCATTAATGGTTGGACTTGATGATCTTGGAGGTGTTTTTCCAACCTATGATCCTAGCAGTCTGTCTGCCTTGTCATCAGCTGCTCTGAGCTGAAGGGAGGTACCAGGGGCCACTTCTCTGCCCCACAGAGGTGAGTTGTGCCCCAACAAGCTCCAAGAGCAGCCCCTGCAGCCTGGTCAGTCACAGGCACTGGTGAGTTTTCCTTCCTCATCAGCTCTAGTTCTTCCCGGGCCGGTGGCATTTTGGTGGTCGAGACTTTCAGGGCTGGGAAAGGGAAAGCATGGAGTGTTGCCAGGCTGGGCTGAGGGGCAGGGTGCCTGTGCTGGAGGCAGCAGCGCTGCCAGAGCTGGGAGCTCAGCCCCCTGGCTCCTTGTACCCCGTCCTTGGGGGTCCTGAGCATTCCAGGTGCCCAGCCATGGGTAGGAGGAGAGGCAAGATGCCCCTGTAAAGTTCATGATGGAGAGGGGAGTCCCTTACTCCACAGGCACTTTCCGTAATGGATTTGCAAGTCCTTTTTGGAGCACTTGCAGGAGCTGGGACAGCTGGATCCAACCTGGGTCCCACTTCTCTTCTGGAGCTGGTACTCCACTGCCCCATCCCTGGTGTGGGGCTAATGCCAGCCCTGCCTGGCAGTGTGTTCCCCGGACCCAGGCTGACTTGGAACACACTGTGTTCCAAGCCCATGCTGTGCTTTCCAAGGCTGGAGACAGCACTGCCAGCAGCATTGTGGGGAGCTGCTGTATGGATGCTCCCTGGCAGGGAGACACTGGCCTCAGCTTCATCCTCAGGGGAGCTCTGAACCACCTGGGCTCTTCCACCTGATCCAGCCACCTGATTTCCCATGCAAATGCTCACTTGTCTTTACTCTTTCCCAGCTCACATCTGTGGCCAGAGGAGTCAGTGCCCACTTGGGCACCTCCCTATCAGTGCTGTGATGGCAGCAGGAGGAGGGAAATCCCTTGGGAGGAATGGCTGAGGGACGGGAGCATGGGTGAAGGGCCTGATCCTGCCTCTGTATGGCTGTGCTCAGCCCAGTGCTGGCTCAGAGACATGGCCAAGCCTCCCCCGAGTGCCCTCCCTGCCCCTTGGCAGAGATTCTCCTGCCCCAGTTACTCCACACAAGCCAGCTGGAGCCCAGCCAGTCACCACGGGCTGGCTCCATGCCCGTCTCTCTCCATGTTTCCCCCTTCTGTCCCATGCCACGTGCTGGATCCTGGGAGATGAGCTATGCCAGGGACCCCACCGTGGTTTGCTGACAGCTCGTAGTTGTCCCCCCCCTCCATGATCATTGCCAGCCCCATGAGACAGATGTAACTGCTCCCTTGGGAACATGGGGAGAAGCAGGACTGCTGAAGGCTGGGACAAGCTCCATCAGCTTGGCTGAGGGTCTGCAGAGCAGGTGACACAGGATGGTTGCCCACCTGCTGTGGCAGTGGGGTTTTAGCTGAGCTCAGGGGGCTGGTAGATCCGTGTCTCTCCAGTGAGAGGCCAGATGGGCAGGTCTCCCTGCTCCAGTGCTTGCCAAGTGGTGTCGGCTTTTCCTCTGCACGAGCTCTGCGTGTTTGTGCTCATGGTTATCTCCCCATTTCCTCCCCTGTCGGATGTTTCCTGCCCCTCTCCCTCCCTTTTGCTGGCTTTGCCCTTTGTGTCAGGCTTATTTCCTGGCTCTGGGCAGTGTCAGACCTCAGTGTTCCCCCTTCCCACCATGATGGCAACACGCAGCCCTGTGTCCTTTCACTGGGTGCAGCACAGTGCCCCAGGGGACACTTGTAATGCTGGCTCCACCAGCTAGCCATTCCTTGGGAGCACAGGCAAGCTTGGACAGAGTAAGGGTCATTTAGGATCTATCTGCTTTTAGCAGCTGGTCCATCTCTATTCTGCAGCTGCAGCACAGGTGCCAACTGGACCAGTCTGCTGCCACAGGGGACTGTTTGGTCCAGAAGTAGGGGAAGCTGAACAACCCCTGGGGACCCTTCCTGGGGCTGCACAAGGACACGGGAACACGTCTGGGGACTTCCAGGGAACATGGGTGGGGAGGATTTGTCACCCAAAGCAGCTCAGATGGACTCCACCAGCCCCTCAGGAGCCATAGTAGCATCTGGGGGCAAACATCTCTGCTCTGGGGAGCCCAGCAGCTCTCCAGGCTCCAGGGATTGACCTCGGTGGGAAAGGCCCGTAATTCCCAGGGTCTTCCACCAGCTGCCTTCTTCCAGACTACTGTCCACTGGCAAAGACTTACTGCACCAGGAATTGGAGTCAGGCAGGTGCATGGTTTGGGACAGGAGCAGTGAGGACGTGGAGAGTCCTAACCTGACTTGCCAAGGTCAGGGCAAGACCCACTTTGCAAGGGACCCTCCCATGCCCAAGTGGGGCAAACGGCAGTGGGCAGAGCCCCTGTGAAAGGCAAAGCCTGCTACAGGAGGAGAGGGTCGAAAAAAGGAAACAGGGAACGGAAAAGGGCTGCTCCTGTGACAGCAGTGCAGCTGTGGAGGTGGAGCAGCAGGCAGAAGGCAGGTCACAAACAGCCAGCACACGAGGAAGTGCTGGGACACCACCCAGCGTGGCCAGGGCGGGCGGCCACAGCAGCTCCAGGTGCAGCAGATCTTCACTGGCCAGGGAGGGACCAGGAGCAGAGGCAACCAGAACTGCAGGGACCTCCACCAGGACCTGGAGATCCCTTTGGCAGGAGTCATCTTCCAGCCAAAACTTCCTTCTGCCAAGGTGTGGGCACCGTCTGTGGCGGGGGGGGGATGGGGCAGCAGGATGGGGACGTTCCTGTGCTGGGTGGTACGGCGGTCCTGGGGCTCACAGCCTTGGGTGACCATTCCCAGAGCCATCAGCAGTGGAGAATACTAATGCTGGGAAGGCTGGATTGTCTGGGAGTGCAAGTGCTGGGAGGGTACTGAGGTCCAGGGCTGCCATCAAAGTACAGGGATCCAACATGGGTACATAAGAAATGGGGCTCTAGAGGAAGAAGGTCCCAGTCCCTGCAGCACCAGGGCTGCTGAGGAAGCCGAGTGGGACCAGCAGATAATGTGCTGAGGCTTCCTCTGGCATGGCTGCAGCTGCAGGGCTGGGTTTGCTCCATTGCTATCAGTCCCTGCAGAGCCCTGTGCATCCCTTCTCCCTCCCTGTGTTATTGTTAGCTGGGAGGAAGCAGCTTCCCAAGTCCCACCTCAAGCTTTTAACCCGCTGCTGCCTGGCCTGATGCTCTGCACTCCCATCAGCCAGAGCCAGGAAAGCTCCACATCTGCCTTGGGAGGATGGTTTGAAACTGGGAACTTGCTCCAGGCTTTACTTTCTTGGGGACCAACAGCATCCCCTGGCTCGTCTTCCCCAAGCCACGTTGTCTCCCACGGGTCTCCCACAACCCCTCTTGCAAAGGATGGACACTGGCATTGTCACCTCTGAGGCCCTGAAAGATTTAGATGCTGATGCTTCCCTCCTTCCCCTCTCTTCCCCCTTTTAGTTGGTCAGATCCTGCTTCCTCTGGAAGTCCCCCCTGCTCTGCTGGGGGAAGGCACCATGGAGGCAGCAGCTTTACCAGCTTTGCACAGACTTAACCCAAGCACCTGATAAAGGGTTTGGAGAAAATCCCTCTTGAGGAAGAAAACTTAACCGTCTTCGTTTGACGAGCTGGGGTTTAACTGAACCCTGGGATCTCCAGAGGTGCTACCTGCCACTCCTTGAGGAAGTGGATATCAGACAGACATCTCAGCAGCCTCTTCCAGACTGTCATCTTCTCACACAGCTGAACTCTGCCAAACTGCCCCCCACTTCTCTCTGGGCAGGGAGGGGACCTCAGCGTGCCATCAGCACAGGCTGGAATGTGCCCTCCCTGGTGACAACCACCAAGGGACACCTTTCCCGAGCATCAGTGTCCATGCAGGAGCAGAGGTAGGTCACAGAATCACAGAATCTGTTGGGTTAGAAGGGACCACAGTGGGTCATCTGGCTGGTCACCCAGCTGTTGAGCCTGATGGGGTGATGCAGGGATGCTCCACCTCCCCTGCAAATATATCACAGATGTTGATGTGACCACCACGTGCTCTGTGAGCACCCCCAGAATAAACCAGAGGTTTGTCTGCTCCGTGTCCTGGAGCCCTGGCACAGCCATGCACATGGATCTTCAAAAAACCCTGTTTGGGAGCACCCCTGGGTCACAGTGAGGTGCTCATCCTTCCTCCCACAGCTGGGCTCTGCCCACACCTTTGCCCCCAGCAGTGCCTGGAGTGATCCCTTGGTCCTGCTCTGCAGGGTCCTGCTGGGGGTTTGGAGCAGGTCAGCCTCTCCCTGCCTGTCCCACAGCACCAGCTGGGCCTGAATTTCCAGCTCTTCCAGAACAAGTTCCTGGGTGGCTGTACCTGAAGCTGGCACTGTGCCGAGATGCCAGTGTGCCTGTCTGGTGCTGTGACCATGCAGGGGGGGGCTGTGGAGATGGCAATGGGGTTCAGCTGCCCAGGGCATGCCATGGGCTAGGGCAGGCTTCCTGCTGCTGCCTGCAGGACAGGAATCACTAGAGGGGTCATCCCCTCAGTCCCCAGCATGTCAGCACATAAATGTGTCTGTTCAAATGCAGTGAGTGGCACGGGGAATTTGGGATGTCCCTGGAGACCAGCAGGTACCTATCCCATCCCCTCTAGCCACATGGTTTGTGTCCCTGCCTTTGTCAGGGGTGCAGGGTGACATGGCTGCGATGCACAGTTCAGAACCAGACTTGCTCCCCTGGAGCATCTTTCCCCCCTTGTTGTCCCGAGGGAATGGAATTAGACCCTGTGATGGCAAGAACAAGGATCCAAGCTCATTCCGATGAGCTCTCTCCCGCATGTCCCTCTCCTCAGAGCCAGGGAAGTGACGCTGGGGAGGAACTTGGCTGCTCTTGTTTGTTATTACAGGATAAAGTTACCCTTTAAAGCAGAGCCAGTGCTGTCAGGGCTGCATACCATCCGGGAACATCGCTCCTTCCCAGCGGCTCCAGGACACTTCTGGTTATTGTGCTCGCAGGGAGCCAGCCCAGCCCCAGTCACAGCGAGGGGGACGCAGGTGGAGGGATCCAAAGAGGAGCCTCGAGGCTTTTTTCACACCCTGGGAAAGTTGGAAGCAAAGGGGAAAGGCCTCTCTCTGGAGAGAGACAGCTCTTCTGACTCTGGGATACGTGGGAAAGAGGAGCAGAAAGCAAGGGCTGGGAGCAGTGGAAAGGCAGGGGGAGCTGGATGTGGTTGGGGGTGTCTGTTGCCTCCTGGGATGCTGATCTCACCCCAGCTCAGCTGGGGACCCTCTGGTGAGGACAGACTGCTGGTTCCCATCGGGGAAACTGCTGTGCACAGGCTGGGCAGTGTCGTGCAGCTGGCACCCATCTCACCCCCCTGCAAGTCCAGCGCCAGCTCAGCATCTCCAGGCCATGCACGGACAGGAAGAGGGCTGGCCTCTCCTTCGAGCTCCAACCTCTGTCCCTGGGGGTCCAAAATCCAGGGGAGCCCCCCCCCCCCCCCGTGGCACCCCCGGAGACACCCCAGCACCACAAGGCTTTGCAGGCATGGGGGTTTCTCAGCAGTACCCTGGCCATCCCACCCAAGCTAGACCCTCAGGAGGGGGCTGGGGGCTTGCTCAGGGCTTGACCCCACACACACACAGAGCCATGACGTGCCTGTGGGGTGGAGGGGAAGGAAGCTGACCCGGTGGAGCTGAGCCAGGGAGAGCTTCCTGGCAGTGAGCTGCAGCCTCCAGCGCCTTCCCTGCCGCTGCAGATGGCTCTGAGCGAGATGCAAAGCAGGCAGAGAGCTGTGTGAGCCCTTTCCAGCCATTCCCCAGCCTGGCATCCACCCGCTGGTGCCGTGTGGGAGGCGAACGCCAGCTGGGGCCCTGACACCGCCACCTCAGCGGGGTGTCGAGGGAAGCCTGACTCATCCCCAGCAGGAGAATGTGAGACTTGCACATGTAAACAGAGCTGGCCCCAGCGCGCCAGGACACGTGACAGATACAGGAGAGACAGGCTGGAGCCACAGCCTGGGGCTGGTGGCATCCACATGTGTGCTTGAGGCACGACAGAGAGCCAGGATGGGTCCTGCTCAGGGGGGCATCACTCAGGTGGGGAGGATGTGGCAGGATCCCTGTTATCACCATGTTCCCCCCGCTGTCCTACCCTTGCCCCACTGGGGGCTTTTAGCAGCTGGTTTTATCCCTGGTCTACCTGTTTGGCTGCATCTGCTTTCCTCCAGGGACACCCTTCACACTGGGAACTAGTTTGGACCAGCAGCTCAAGACAGGCAGAAGAGGTGCAGGATGGTTTAGTGGCAGGCTTGGCAGTGCTGGGTTAATGGTTGGACTTGATGATGTTAGAGGTCTTTTCCAACCCTAATGATTCCATGATTCTATGAGAGCAAAGCTCCTGAGACGCCATCCCATGGTGCCAGCCTGAGGAGCAGAGTGTGGCTTGTGGTGTCAGGAGGTCTCCCTGCATCTTCTCTTCCACAGGGATGGAGAGAGTATGGTGGCAGTCTGGGAGCATGGGTGTCTGTTCCCATCCTGGGAGCAGGGATCACTCAGAAAGCTCCCGGTTATTCGAGGAACTCTCCAGCACGTGATTTCCCCTTGGGTTGATCTGTGCTCTGCTGTGGGCTCGGGGCTGGGAGAGCTGCAGGCCAGCGGGGAGAGGAGATATTACAGCACTTCCTATCCTTGCTTACCCTGTGAAGCTGGTTTCATTTCCTTAATCCCCATCCCAGCGTTTTCTCTGTTGTTTTCTTTGGAAGGGAGGGAGCTTTGCTGAAGGCTGGTGCTCACTGCAGGGAGCGCTTTCACACTCTGGGAGATCGACATGGTTGCCCACTGGCTGTTCCCAGATGGATTCACTCTCTGCTCTTGGGTGCAGTGGAGCGGATCTGGGTGTGTGTGGGTTCTGCTGCTCTGCTCAGGGAGGGCCATATTCACATGCTTTTGCATACAGCTCTGCCAAATTTGAAGACTCAGCCCTGCCAAAGCACCTCATGTTCCAAATGCCCTTTTGCTCTTGCATCTCCTATGGCACCAGCTTTGGGGCAACATATTTGTAGCACAGCTGACTGGATGGGCTGAGCTTTGCTTCACCTGGTGCGACGTTGAAACCTCAGGCTGCTGATGCCTGAGCTGTGCTGTGGTCCAGCCATGCCACCCTCCCTGCCACTGGCTACATGTGCTCATCTGGGCTGGTTTCTGGGCTTGCCCATGACCTCAGCCTTTCTGCTCAGTGTTGGACAGTCCCAGGAGACAGTAGGAATATTGTGAATCATGAATACTTTTGGAGTGATCCCTGGGGTGTGTGCCTGAGATCGTTCCTGCTGTGCTGAGGTGGACATGGCTGCCTGGTTGCAGGAGGTGGAGTGGCCCCAAGGGATGTTCAGCCCCCCAGGCTGAGCAGGGACAGGAGTTGGAGATGCTGCCTGCCACCTCCCCAGGGTGGAGGAGGGAGTTAGGAGAGGAGACAGCTGGCTGACGGCCAGAGAATCTGGACTAGCACTGTTGTGCAGCTCCCTGCCCTCCTTGGCCCGTGCTGGGGCTGAACCTGATGCAGTCCCAGTCTGAATGTCCTGGCTCGTGTTCCTGCTTGCTGGGAGGGTCTGGGAGAGCTGACCAGCAAAAGCACCCAGTGCTGGCCAACACCGAGTAGGTTTGTGGCTGCTCTGGGGGTGTCCTGTCCTCCCTTCTCCAGGCCCTGCAGGCAGGCACAGTGCTGGGACAGGCAACTCTGCCCCATGGAAAGGGACAGGCTGGGTCAGGGCTGTGCCTCAGCTTGCTGCTGCCGTGAGCTGGCCCCGGGTGCGTTGGGGAAGGTTTTCCAGCAGAGCTCAGAGGACCTGCTGGCACAGCCCTTCCACGCTGCCGGCCAGTTCCCGAGCGTGGCCAGGGCTCCGGTGAGTCAGCTGGAGCAGCAGCTCACATTGCTCATGCTGCATCAGCACCGCCCTGGCTCCATTAGCTTTGTCCCAGGTTGTGTTCCCCAAAAACGCGCATCCTTGCAGGATGAGGAGCTTGGGATGCCCTGCTCCAAGGTGGAGGCAGGGATGGTGGCAGGCTCTGTGGAGCAGAGGCACCTTGGCTGCTCGTGGGGACGATGGCCAGGCTCCCACTGTGCTCAGCACACGGGGCTGTCCCGGTGCAAGGCTCGGAGCCCTGGGCTGTGTGTACTGCCTTGCTCCAGCGCTGAGCAGGAATGCTGAGCACGCAGCAGCTCCAGCCTGGAGCCAAGGGCTGGCCTCCAGCCCTCCAGAGAGAGGGGAGAGGAAGACGTGGCTCCAGGCCCAGCCTGCAGTGAGAAGAGCAATTTGGGCAGAGACCTGCGGTGCGGGGCTCCGCCGATGGCTCAGACCTTCCTCTGCACCGCGGCAGGCGGATGCAGGCAGCTGGCACGGCTGGTTGCTGAAGCTGCCAGGGAGAGGGGAATGTGCTTAGAGTGGTCCTGGGTCACCAGGCTCTGGAAAGGTGTAATCCTGTGGTGGGAGGAGTTGGGCAATGCCAGATGGTTCTTAGACAGGGTGCCCCTGTGCTCAGGAACTCCTGCCTGCACCAATATCCAGCTTCCCAGTGCTGGCAGGGACTGCAGGGAAACCTCCTTCAGAGACAAGAGTCCAGGAGTAACCATCTCTATGCTGTGAGGGTTTACCCAGGAGTATTCTTATCCATACTGGAAGGGTTAACCCAGGAGTATCCATCCATATCCATGCTGGCAAGATTAACCCAGGAGTATCCATATCCACAATGAAAGGGTTAAACTAAGATTAACTGCATCCATGCTGGGAAGGTTAACTCAGGAGTATCCATCCATATCCATTCTGGCAAGATCAACCCAGGAGTATCCATATCCACAATGAAAGGGTTAAACCAAGATTAACTGCATTCATGCTGGGAAAGTTAACCCAGGAGTATGCAAATCCGTGCTGGCAGGGTTAACCTCTGCCAGCCAGCAGGCATCAGTGCCTCCATGAAGCCAGGAGGGAGTTTTGGGGGGCAGGCAGGCCAGAGGTGCTGCAGGAACTCGGGCAGGAGCCTGTCCTTGCTTTTGTTTGCCAAGCTGATCTGTGCAAGCTCCCAGAACAGCGGGTGCGTTGCGCCAGCCCCGGCCTTGGCACGGGCAGTGCTTGGCTCCACGACCCAGCCTGGCAGGCGTGTGACAGACAGGAGGGTGCTGCAGGCAGCTCTGCCGGCCCCAGCCTGGCCAGGTCCCCTCTCCTGATGTCTGCAGGGATACAGCTGCTCCCCGTCCCAGCAGCAGCCAGGAATGGGGCTTTGCCTTGGAATGGTGGTGCATGGGTAAGCAAAATGTGGTGGTGTGGGTCAGTCCACCTCCAGGCACCCCAAGTCTTTACTGAGAAGGTGGTTAAACCCTGGAACAGGCTTCCTGGAGAGGTGGTTGATGGCCCAAGCCTGTCAGTGCTTGTCAGAGGCATTTGGACAATGCCCTAAACAACATGCTTTGATTTTGGGTCAGACCTGAAGTGCTGAGGCAGTTGGCTGAGATGATCCTTGCAGGTCACTTTCAACTGAAAATTCTTTTCTTTTCTTTTCTTTTTTTTTTTTTTTT